TTATTAGTTCAATAATTAATGTATTATTATTTTTATAATTAAGTAATTTTCTAAAAAATTTCAACACAATAACAACAATAAGTCATAAAAAATAACTTATAGAAATCATAATTTTATCAAAATATATATATATATATAAGTTTATAATTTAAATAAAAATATATTTATTAAAAAAAATTATTTTTAAACAATAATAAATTATTTTTATGTCTAGTCGTTATAATAATGAAATAATGTATTTATAATATGACAAAAATTTATGAATAAATTATAAAGAAAAAAAATTATATTTTAATATGAATTAATGATATAAAGTTTATTCATGTTTACTATATCATCAGACTATATTATTAAGCAAGGTTTTGGATTTTAGGGGGGGGTCTAGGGGGTCAAATAACTAAAATCTTGAAAAATCTTGAGGCAGGTCTAAGGTGGGGTGTAGATTATTATTGCATTTTAAACGGCAATTTTTTCATAAAATTCAAATATCAAGGGGTGGGGGTCAAAATAAAATTCCCAAATATTCCCTAAAATTATTAATTGGGTCGTTTTTTCTTTGTTATTAAGCGACAATTTTTTCAATTTGATCAAAAAAAAAATCTAATGGGCAAATCTAAAAAATCTCAATCTTAGTGGGGGGGGGGTCATTTGACTTGACCCACTACCCCCTCCTTGCTTGACCCTGTATATATAAATAACAGTATATTATTTATTATATATATATATTTAGCTAATATTTACTAACTATAAATAGTAAAAATTAAGATTCTAGTATTAAACTAATAATATTTTCAATAGAAAAAATTTGTTTTAAAATAAAAATTATTTATATAAAATATACTGTATATACAGTATATACATATTATAATATATACAGTCTATTTTAATTTAATCAATTATGTATTATGCTTAAAGTTACTCCTAGGCCAACAACAACAATAACTGTGCAAACACATGGAGGCAATCAGCACCCGGAACCGTGTGGACAGCAGTCTAGTAAGTCTAGCCAACAATTACCAGTAATTAAAAATCATGGTTGGCTTATGAGCTACTGGACCCGAAACTATTTGGATGGTTTACATACTGGTGCCCAAAAATTTTGTCCACCACTGGCCCGTACGTTTGTCTGGTGCAATGTTTGTTTTGTTATCCGATTTATTATAGTGGCCATCCAGTTGTCCCATACATCCAATCGCCTACATGTTTATTTGGGTACATGGGCACTGTACACGGGTGGTCCGGCTATCTATACGGAGGTATTGGTAATGTTGAGGGTTGTCGGACAAATGCAAATGTTTTACTACTGTATTTGTCGACCGGTTACTGAATATCAATGGCTAACTGTTTTCCGATTTCTCAATAGAAACAATGTTCAAGGTTAGTTAGCTAATTATTATTATTATTAGGTATTACTGTATTTATCATTATTATTATTATTTGTTAATTTATTTAGTCTAATACTTGACTAAATAAATAAATAAATAAAATTTTTATATTTTCTTAATTTTTAACTAAATAATTTAATAAACAATTAGATAATTGATAAATTATTTTATTTTCTATATTAAAAATTATCTAATTAATTATATGTTATGTTTTTCGTTTATTTGTTAAATATCATGTTACTAATAGATGGCGAAAATAGTGTAACAGCAAAACAATTAGGACTGTGTCCTGGGTACATTATCAAATTGACAAAACGGGCTAAATTTGCCCTGGGCCAATGCTATCAATATTATTGGCAAGGTTCATTTACATTTATGTTTATTACATTTTACCAGTTCTATTCCAACTACAATCTAGTTGACCTAATATTATTTGGCATACCCTGGTCAATTATCTGGTGTCTATGGTGTATGATGGGCTGTACGTTTGCCTACTGGGGACCTGGCTATTTCTATATAAATTGCTATTATTTGAAATTGAAATATGCAACAATCAATGATAAAAATGGCCAAGCTAGTATCTAATTATCATAAAGAAAATAATACTAACTGTCAAACTAATCGGTAAACTTAATTGTACAAGTTTATATTTATAATTATTATTTATATATTATTATATAATTATGAAATGTAATTTATATGAATTTTTAATATTAACTAATAATAATTTAAATATTTTTTTTTATTTATATTGTAACGGCATTGCTATACATATAGCGGGAAACAATTGCGCAATCTATTGCTAGAACATTCAAAGCTATGTCGTCACTTAGGGGTAATCAATAAATTTTGGCGCAAATATTTGACAATAGTATTCTATAATTTCATGATGGTTGTTTGCCTATTACTTTATTTTGTATTAATGGTTGATAGTACCTGGTACATACGTATAGCATTTACATATGTATTTTCAGCCCATTTCGGTTTATTGCAAATAATTACTTATTCGACTACAATTGTTTGGCGCGAATCTAATGAAACCTATAGATTGTTAATGAAAATTGGCATGGTCAAATTCAAATTGAATACTAAATTTAAGGTAAATGATTTTGTTTGATTAATTATTTATTTTTAATTCATTATTTATTTTTAATTCATTATTTTTAATTCATTATTTATTTTTAATTCATTATTTATTTTTAATTCATTATTTATTTTTAATTCATTATTTATTTTTAATTCATTATTTATTTTTAATTCATTATTTATTTTTAATTCATTATTTATTTTTAATTCATTATTTATTTTTAATTCATTATTTATTTTTAATTAATTATTTATTTTTAATATATTATTTATTTTTTCATAATTATTTAATAGTTATTTGTAAATAGAAATTATTTTTATGTTTCTAAAAATTGACATGATGTATTACTAAATATATATATTTTTAAAAAAATATATATAATAATATAAATATTACTTAAATAGTGGATGCAATACACTGAACGTCTCAAAGACAATCGCGAGGGTTTCTATCTAATAACCGGCCAATTACTACATGTGCTTACATTTCAAGAGGTTATTATTATTAATATTATTACTTATAATAATTAGTATTTAATTTTTTATTTATTAATTTATATTTTATAGGTCACGGAAAATTTGTATAAATATTTTCTGCTATTTGTTGATAATCAAAAAAATTTTGCTTAAATACAGTATAAATATATTATACTATAAAAAATAGTAATCATTGCTTACAAATATGTGATAAAATTTTTTAAATCAAATATATGATACTTTATTTTCTTTAATTTGTTTAAATATTTATAATATTTATCTAAAAATTAATAATCTATAAATAATATTTGTGGTTATTTTTATATTATAAGTGAATTTAAAAATAACTATCAAACAAAAATAATTTACTGTATAACTTATAATTAATATTTTATTATTTTCAATATATTAATTAATATTATTATTAATTACTGTACTCAATAACCTTCAAAAATACATCATAATTATATTTATATCTTAATATAGCAACAAACTAATGTTTAATATACTGTACTGTATAAATCATAATTATTATCAAATAATATTATGATTAAAAAATAACCATAATAATTGTTAAATAAAAATAATATAAATTTTAAAAATAATTTTTTTTTGCTTATTGCAATTGACTTTATGATAAACAATTACAGTAATTTTCCAAGTAACAATATGTATTAAATTACATGATAATAAACATAATATTGTATATTATATATACAATAATATAAATGACCATGGTACATGTAGGTAATTGAACTTAGTGTGTTTGTATATAAATAATTATTTACAATATTAAATAATAATCTATTTTTTGGCTTATGTTATACAGTAGTTTTGCTAGTAATTTTATCAAACTGTATAGAATTTAAGCTAGGTAATATATTTACTTTTTCTATAATATACGATATAATATTTTTTAAAAATAATTAATTAATTTGTATGATATAATAATTTTTATTACCATAGAAATTTATAAATTTAATAAAATAATATTTTTTATTTAGTTAATAGAGTTAATAGTAAATATTAATTGTTTAATTAATTGTAAGTTTAAGTGCCGAAAAAAATAATTATTTAATTTATATTTCAATGCGTAAATGTTTTATTATTATTTTATAAACTAGGTGCATTTATAATGATAATAATAATAATAAATTTTAGACTGAAATATAAAAAAATATATTAAGTTTATTAAAAATAATTTGTTAAAATATTATTTGTTGTGAATCTAAAATTTTTATTTATATATATTATTATAATTTATTATAATTTATATTATAATTAATATGCGTGAATATTGTCTATTTGTCATTTAAAACTATAGAAAATATTTATTTTTTAAATATAAAAATTAGGTTATATTTATTTTGTCATATAATATCTCATATTAATCTTATATAATAATTTTTAATAATAATATATTATATTTACAGTATATATATATATATTACTGTATGATATATCATTTACGTAATTTTTACAATATAACTGTAGTAAATAATTTTATCTTATAGTTTTAATATTTTACTTAAAATAAATTTTATTATAAATAGGTATAAATATAATTTATTAGACCAATTTAGATTTTTTTTTTTTTTACTATAATATCATTTTGATTTTATAAAAGTTATTTAAAAAAAATTATATAATTTATATAAATAAATTTATGACATTTATAAATATTATAATATTTGTAGACTAATTTTTAATAAATTAGTTATTACTAACTTTTATATTACAGTATTTTCTATCATTCATAAACTATAAATTTAATAATAATTCAAAAATAATAATGTTTGATAATTACTAATAATAAAATGACAATTATTATGACATAATAAGCATTTTTATTTTTTTCGTGAGTATTTTGAATATTATTTAACATTTTGTTCAAATAACTATAATATTAACTAATTACAGGAAACAATAATATTGTAATCAATTATTATATAATCAATATTTTATAATAATGTTTATTAGTTTATTATTTGTTATTATTATTTATCATATTTTTTATTTACATATAGTGAAAATTGTCATCAAATAAAATCAATGTCCAAAATCAAAATTAAAACAACCCGTATCCTCCCGGAGCCAATTGACGAACTAATTACTGAACCACCGGTGCAACGGCGGCGGCCATCAACCGAAACACTAGTAGCCAAGGTGCTCAAATATCAAGGTGGTTTTATTGGCTACTGGACCCGAAACTATGGCCAAGCACTGCGCGAACGTGACCGATCATTTTATCCGCGTCTATGGCGGGCTTATATGTGGTTTAAATTTTTGATGCTATTCCGTATTCTCAAATGTTTTTCCGTACTGCTGGACCAACCAGTTATTGACCGCCATGCTAGAATACATGTCTACCTGGGTACATTTTCATTGTATATGGGCGGTCCGGCACTGTATACGGAAATTGTGGCCCTATCGTGGACAGTCAGTGTTTTCATACTCTACCACTACTGTGTTTGTCGACCAGTAACCGAGTTTAGCTGGCTAACTGTATTCAACTATTTGAATAGGGATAATATACAAGGTAATTTTGTAATTTAATACATTTGATACAATAATTAAAGATAATATTAATAATCATTAGTAAAATAATATAAATAATTGTTTTAATATATATATATAACTAATAATTATTATTATAAAACTGTTTTTCATATTATTACAAAATATGTTTACTTTTTTTCGTTGACCCCCTTCCCCCCAAATAATTATCAGATATTTCACAATACGTCAGTGCAAAACAATTAGGTCTGTCCAGTGACTATCTGAGCAAATTGGAGAAGCGCACCAAAATAGCCTTTACAATGGCCGACCAATATATTTGGCAAATATTTGGCGGATTTATGTTCATCACAACCGTCATCTACTTTATTAACTATACTACTGTCGACTTTTTCCTATGGGGTCTACCCTGGGTTATACTATGGGGTATATGGACGTGGACAGGGGTATTGCCTGTCTACTGGTTGCCGGCATATTTCTATGTTATGTGCTATTATATAAAACTACGGTTGGCTATTGTTAATGATAGACTAGCGGCACTGTTAGGCAAAAATCTAAATGATAAATCAGAAATGTAAAACATACATAAATATAATAATATATAAAAATGAACTAGTACCAAATATATAATTAATTATTATAACTTTTTTTTAAAAAAAAATTATATTATAAAAAAAATATAGGGATAGATATATGCGTGACTTATTACACGAGCATTCAATAATATGCCGACAAATACTGGTGGCCAACAAATATTGGCGCAAATATTTGACCATAACTTTTGTATGCTATACAGTCATCATATGTTTTCTATTGTTTTTCTTGACCTACGCCCAGGTACCCTGGTATACCTATTTGCAGTATGGGGTCATATTTTCAGGTCACGCAGTATTGCTTACAATAATTACCTATTCATCGACAATAGTTTGGCGCGAGTCTAACAAAACGTTTAAATTGTTAATAAAATTTAATAACATAACGATTACACTGAATACTAAGCTCAAGGTTAACACAAAAAAGTTAATTTTTTAGTTTTATTTTACTATTTTGTTTGTTATTATTATTTGTTTGTTGTATTTAAAACTTATTATTATTAATATCTATTTAGTGGATGCAATACATTGAACGGATTAAAGTCAATCGCGAGGGTTTTTATCTAATAACCGGCCAATTATTATCAGTTTTGACGTTTCAAGAGGTTAGCAATTAGTTATATTTTTTTGATAAATATATTTTATATAATATTTTATTTTGTTTTTATTTAAAGGTTTTAGAAAATTTGATCAAATATTTTCTATTACTTATTGAAAATCAAAATAATTTTAACTAATGTCTACACACATATAAAAAAAAACATTTATTTAAATAATGTATTAGTCGATGAATATATGATTATAATTTTTTTGTATATAAATTAAATATACAACTATTAACTTTATATATTGTATAATAGTATATTTTTATAAGTTATAAATATAACACTGTATACATATTGCACTTTTAAAACACATTTTTAAAATATGGATAAATATATAGATTAAAATATAATTTTATTGAATTTGCATTTTATTTTATTTATTTAATAATATTACTATATCACTTATTTTATTTTAGAAATATTATTTTTACAACAAAAATTAGTAAAAACACAAATTAAATATCATTAATTTAATATTTCAATTTAACTTAAAATATTTCATCATTTAATGTCAATATTTTAGTTTAATTATTTACAATTACATAACATTCAATAACTGTAATATTGTATACTATAAATATATGTTAACTCTATAACTAATATAATACAGTAAATAAATACTATTTAAATATTAAAATTTTATTTTTTATATAGTTTAACTTATTTGTAGTATATTTTATTACTATTACTAATATACAGTATACCGGTATTTTAATATTAATGTTGTAACTAAATGTCTAATTATATCAATAACAGTTGTTATGTGTGTCAATAATCAATTGTTTCAATCAATGAATTATTTTTTTTGTTTAAATTTAAAGGTCTACTAATTAATACATAATACTCTTTATATAACTAAAATTTTTGTAATTTATAATTGTAGTAAAAAAACAAGTAATCAATATTTCCTTTTAAATTAAAATTATAATTAGCAGACAATACTACTAAAATAACTACTAAATTATATAACATTAATAAATTGAAGGTCAAATTTTTTGTCTAAATATTTTTTTGTATTATAATTAACACTACTATTGGGATATCTCAATGTTTATAGTTATGAAATTAAATAAATATTTGTAAATATTATATATTGTATATAACTTACATAACTTATATCATAATATTCACATTTATTTTTTGACATATTATTGTTTTATAAACATAATCTACTATTTTAAAAATAAAATAATTTTTTTTAATCAGATATAAAATTTTTAAGATTATAAATTTTTATCGATTGTAACTATTTATTATATTATTTTTAAAATTATATTGATAATATTGTATTTTATAAATTATTATTATTACATATGATTAATTTTATTTGGTGCTTAATCTACAGTAGTGTATCGATAATATATTTTGTCTATTTTGTGACCACATATATATGTAATTACAATAGTTGTTACAACTATAAACAAAACAATAAATATAATGCTCATATTATCTAAATGATTAATAAAAACTATTATTAAACTATCTAAACATATATTAATTTATAATTTTTTAAACTGTAAATAAATGGCTAATATAACTACTACTGCTACTACTACTACTGCACCTCAACTACCGGTGCAATATATGACTTACTCGTTACTGGCACTGGTGTTACAGCGCGACGCCCGACATCGGTCACAGTGCGAGCGGCGTGAATGGCTGGACAGATATCACTACATTGTTGTCGGCTCGGGTTCGGCCGGTGCTATTGTGGCCAAACGGTTGGCCGAAGAAAACAGTCGTGTCAACGTTTTGCTACTTGAGTCGGGCGGTGCCGGCGACCTGAGGACTGACATACCAACAATGTATCCCTGGTTGATGGGAACGGACTACGACTGGAACTACATGTCAGAACCTCAGCAACACATGGGTTTAGCTTATGTAGATCGTCGACAAACAGAGCCCAGAGGTCGGTTAGTGGGCGGCAGTTCGGCCATCAATTTTTTGGTATACAATCGCGGCAATCGTCGCGACTATGACCGCTGGGACAGGGAGTTCGGGGCAAAAGGTTGGAACTATGACAGCGTTTTGCCGTTTTTCATAAAAAGTGAAAACAATACGGACAGTGATGTAGTTCGAGCCAACCCTGGTATGCATGGAACAGATGGCCCGATAGGTGTAAGCTCTATAGCAGTGGCAGCGACGCCGCTCGATAGAGCACTAGTAGCCTATCAGCAGGTGCTCAACGATTTAGAACTGGAAACGATTGATCTGAATGGCCCGAAACAGTTGGGCACTGGACTAATACAGTTTACCATCAAAGATAACCTGAGAAGCAGTACGGCCAGTGCCTATTTGATGGACAATGTAGATAACCTGCATATACTATGTCGGGCACACGTAACTCGGGTACTGTTTTCCGGCCGCACAGCTATTGGTGTAGAATTTGTACGCTATGGCCAAAAATATAAAGTGTTTGCCGATTTTGAGGTCATACTGAGCGCCGGTATGTATAAAATACAGTATAATATATTAAAAGCTAGAAATACATTACTGTATATACTCTACTATTTTATTATGATATAATATTGTTGTCTGTTATTGAAACAGTTATGTTAATTAATGTCAAGGTTTTTGAGAAAAAAAAACAATTATTGTCAGTGTGTGAGCTCAGGCATCACTTGTATTTTAAAGACAATTATGTGTTTTACATAGAAATATATATATACTGTATATATGATATATAATAATAAATAATTGTCTAATATATTTAATATAAACACAAAATCATTTACAAACAAACAAAAAATTAATACATTTTATTATACGATTGCTTTTATACAATTTATTATATGATGAAACAATCGTATAATAAACTTTATTAATTTTTTGTGTGTTTGTAAATGATTTTGTGCTTATATTTATGTAATATATTGTTGTTGATTAACTACAGGTGCCATAGGATCTCCGCATCTGCTGATGCTGTCAGGCGTTGGACCCAAAGCTCATCTCAAATCACTGGACATACAGTGTGTGGCAGACCTACCGGTTGGCGATCATCTAAAAGATCATATAGTCGTACCGTTTTATTTCCTGTTGGCCAACGACACAACTAACAGTAGTACAGATAGTTTGCTGCCTCCTGATCTAACTGGCCAACATGTGTACGACTTTTTTGCCAACCAATCGGGATCGCTCATACAGTTTCCCAAAATGTTGACCTACTATAGTACCAGTTTGAACAAAGAGCCCGACTATCCGGATACCTGTATCTATTCGTGGATCGAAAACTATTTGAACGATCCCCGAAAAATGGCCGCCAGTTTTGATAGGTCAGTGCGTGCGGACTGGGAGTCATATTATCGCCAGTTCCACAATAGACGATACTTTTATGCGGCAGCCAGTGTTGTACGGATCAACAGCAAGGGATACGTTAGGTTGCGATCGACCGATCCGTTTGAGAGTCCACTGATTGATCCGAAATATTTGTCCGACAAACGAGATCTACAGGCGTTTGTAGAGATAATTAAATTTTTCTACTATATTGTTGAAAAAACACAATTTTCACGCTATGTTGTTTTGCCCAGGTAGTTTTTTGTTTGCATGTTTGTTTGTTAGCTAAATAGATAAGCAAATATAATAAAATAATAATAGTTTAATAAATGATAGTCAACTTAAACGTTATTAAAAAAAAAGTTATAATCAAATAAATATAGTTATATTTATAATAATACTAATTTATTAAAATATAGCAATAATAAGCAAAATATATAATAGTATTTTTTATATTTTAGTCTATAATCAATAATTTTATTATTGACTACAATAGAGAGAAAACTATATATACAGTATATATATTTATTTATTTTACTATTTATATAAAATATTTTATCACTTAAGTTATTATTTTAGTATTATGAAAAACTTTATATACAATATATTTAATTAATTTTATTTAGACCAATACCTGGCTGTAAATACTGTTACGACCGGCCATTGCATGAGTGCGACACATATATTACATGTCTGATCCGTCAGATAGGTCTACGTGACTATCATTTGGGTGGCGCCTGTCGTATGGGTGATCCCAAGCGCGACGACACAGTACTGGACGACAAACTAAGGGTAAAGGGTGTCCATCGTCTAAGGGTTGTCGACTCATCTGTAATGCCCGATATGGTCAATGCCAACACACAGGCCGTATCGATGATGATCGGCGAAATGGGCGCCCACCTAATCAAACAGTATAATAGGCCGGCGCTCAACAATCAGATAAGTCAGAGTAGTTAGAGTTGACTGTAAAAACATTTAAAACTATGATATTATTATTTAAAATATTGTATAATATTATAAATATTTGTAAAATATTTTTTCCATGAATGTGTAAACTAATTAATAATCTATAGTATTAAAGCTTAATAAAAACATAAATTATTAAACTTTGAACTAATTTAATTAAAAAATTAAAACTACTTAAAGAATATTACTTATCTATAGATTAATTAATTTTAATTTATCTCATAGATTGTACTCATAAAATATATTTAAGTTTACTTTTTAAAAAATAAATTATTTGTTTTAACATCTATAATATTTAGTTAATATTTAATAATAAATTCTTATATCAATTTTATTATGCATATGATTTTTAATTAAAACATTAAAAATCATTTTTTTAATAATTATTTATTAGAAATAATTTAAATTAAACTTAGTATTAATATTCATTAATAGAATATATGATACATTCATAGATTAATTAATTTTCTACATTTATAACCTAAAAAAAAATAAATAAATTTTATTTAACAATTAGCTATTTTAGTACTTTTAATAATTATTATATATTATTATTATAGTAAATGATAATTTGGGTCATAATTAGCTATAAGTATCAAAGTACTGATTATAATTATGCCACCAATCAATGGGATCCAATCAAGCGATATATTGAATATCATAATATCCCAAACAATTGACAGAACAATACTAATTAATGGTGAAGCCATAGTTATTAATCTACCGGTGCTTTCAATATCATCATCAATAATATTATTATTATTATCATTAGTATAATTATCGTAAATTATTGACTGGAATATATTTTCCAATACACCACACATTGAAGCCAATACTAGAAACAACCACTGATTGGTACCGGTAGGCAATCGCCAAGTGCCGAAAAGTGTCGACATAACTGTTGCCAATACTAACAGTGCTAAAAATCGCCACATGTTTATTGTAGTCAACGGTGTGTGCTGTAGTCTACGGGCACTAATTGTGGCCATTGCCGCAGCTATGGCACCGACTATAGTCAGACCAATGCCCAGTGCTCGGTCATCAGTCAGATTATCTACCAGTTCATCATTAGTGTAGCCAAAAATAAATACCGGTTTGGCCACTACTATCATACCCGTAATGCCAATCAAACATATGATAATCTTATGTTAAAATAAAAGCTATTATTATTATTGTTATTATATATAATAATGATAATTAATATAACTATAAATAAGTAGTCAATAAGCACCTGTTGCCAAGTAATAGCTTTACGTAATATAATATAGCCAAATATTATGCCAAATACCGGTGCCGTATAGTACAGTGCTGTCGACTGGGACAACGGTAACAGTCGATAGGACAGGTATAGCGACAACAGTGCTATAGATCCGGTAACTGTACTAATGATTAGATCTATACGTTTAGCTCCCGGTTCGCCAACCAGTGACTGTTTTTTCCATAATATTATTAACAAATTTATTAATAATTGTAAAATAGATCTGTGTGAATTAAATTAATTATAACATTAATACTATTATTTTAAATAATTAAAATTAATTATATTATTTTATTTTATTTATAATAACCTGAATACTAATATTTCCAGTACAGGTAAATCGGTAAGTGATTTAATAAATATTGACGATAACGATACTGATAGTGCACCTATTGTTAACAGATTTATTTTTTTTTTTAAATTAATTTAAATAAAAATTATTATTACTTTTTGTCTTCAATAAATACCTAATATGGAAATGTATAATAAACATCCAGGTACATTGTTGTTATTGTTGTTGTACCATGATGATCTAGTAATACGTTTAATAAATAAACCACTATTTTCATAATCAATTGATGAATATTCTAGTGTATAGTTTTATAGATTTATAAATTACATTTTTTTAAAAATATATATATTTAGTATAGTGTTTATAAAAAATAATGTAATAATTATAAATGTATTATATATTTAATTTTAAACATATTATTATATTTGACTAAATATTAATAATATGTAAAAATAAAATATAGTAATTGCTTACTTATTAAAGGAACTTGATTATAATTTTTATCAATTATAATTGTTGATTCATCCATATGTAATTTATTTTAGAAAAAAAAACAATATTTTATAATAAATTTATCAAAACTAATAAATTTTTAAAAAATAATTACTATACTAGTTTAAGTAAAATATTTTTTTTTAAACTATAATAATCATTATATTAATTAATATTATTTAATTGCGATGACAGTAAGCGACAAAATATTGGTTAAAAAATATAAATGTATTGACAGTTATTTAAGTGTTGCAAAGTTCACAGACAACAAGTAATCTTTAATCAATTATTTTTTATTTATATCTTAATATTTTTATCACAATTTTTTTTATTTGGTTGTCATGTGTGCAGTCTGTTTGTCTGAATTGGTAAAAAATAAACTAAAATAAAAAAAAAAGTTTTTTTCGTTATCAAATTTATTTTTTTATTTTCATTCATTCAGTTTATTAACGTTTAATCAATTTTATAATTATACCTTTTATTTTATTTAGTGATAATTATTAATAGATTAACAGTTTTTACAGTATTATACTCTATATATATATATATATAAATTATATATATATATAGTTTAAAATGCTAGTAATTTATAAATTATAGATTTATTTAATAATTAATTATTATAATAAATTTATATATATTATTTTAGCAATTTGTTTATTAATAAATAAAATTGTAAATATTATTTTTTGTTTGTTTGAAATAAATGTCATTTACACAAGTTAAATGATTTCAACAACAACAAAAAATAATTATATTATATATTTTTTATACATTATATAATATACACAATTAAATACTGTATATAATTATAGTGTACTTATTGTATAAAAATTGTTATAAATAAAATATTTACGCTAAATATAATAATAATGTTAATACAGTAATACATAATAAAAAATTAGTCACAAATATATTAATTAAAATTATTATTAAAAAAATAATAACAACAACAAAAATCATTATAAAATACAAACAAAATTATAATTAATTAAAAATATATATTTATATAAATTATATAATCAATAAATAAAAAATATTTAGCTATTTATTTTTGTGTTACATTAGGACCGTTTGGCGAGCCATCGATAGCCACTTCAAACTGATTATAATATAACTGATTCCTATGTTTATAATCAGTGATACTGTCGTAGTATTGGTCGGCATATCTGTCGGCAAACGGCTTTCCCAGCGTTTCCTCGCTATCGTAGTAGTCGTCCGACATTTCCCGACAACGACAATAACAACAACAATAGCTTGAAAGTCGGCTAAACGTTTCGGGCGACTCGTGTCGCCACTTGTCCACTGCCAGCAACAGTATACATGATGTAATAATAGTGGCGCCCAATAGGGACAGCCATTCGATGGTCTCACCCAATATTACGGCCTCCCATACGAAAGTCATGACCACTGTCAGCGTACGGGTAACGGAAACCGGTCCGGCATTTTCATACTGCATGGCTTTCGATACAAAATACTGGTCACCTACACCAAACACACCGACACCAATCAACAATCCCCAGGTATACCAACCCCAAGGCATTACCAGTGCGTCCAATGCAAACAATATAATCAAAGTGACAACAATAACTACCAGTGCGTACCACATAACAATAACGGGTACGGGTGTCGACTTTAGTTTACGTAGTGTTATCATACTGAAAGCACCCGATAGCGAACTGACCACTGCCAGGACAGTACCGAGTAGTCGCTGGTCGTACACTGTATCCGCTTGAGACCCGAATATGAATTCCGGCTGAGCAATGACCACTACGCCGACCAGTGTGACCAAACCGGCTACTGCCTGAAGCCACGACAGTAGCTCCCGAAGCATAAAATAGGCAAATATGGCCACAAATACGGGTGAGGAAAACTGTATGGTCGACGCATCGGCCAACGGCATCATCCGATAGGCGACAAACACTGTGGTCAGTGTTATTGTTCCCGATATACACCGTAAGGCCAGATACATGTGATGGCCGTCGGCCGGCACTATACTATAGCCTCTCACTAACACTAGAAATCCGAATGATATGAATTGAAATGTTGACCTAAAATGTATAATAATATTGTATTATTTAAATTATTTAAATTAAAACTATGATTGAGATAATTATTTTAAAAATTATTGTAAAAAATATTTTTTTATATTTTATTTTTATGCTTTATCATGTAGTGAAAAACAAAATAATAATTATTTGTTTTAATTAAATTTATATTATAAATATTGTTTAATAGTAATTGTATAATAGATATTGTTTTTTAAATAAATTATTTTAATAATAGCATAAAAATAATATTTTTCATTTAATAATTGTATAATAAGTGTGATAATATTTAATTAAAATATGAATTATTTTAGTGTCATCAGTATACCTCGTGTAATTTTAATTTGAAATAATTATATTATTATTATTATTATTACTAATAATTGTTTTACTAATCAATTCATTATCATTTCAACTAATCTATTAATTTTTATTTTATTTTTATTATCGTCAGCAAAAAATATTGGCCTCCTTTACGTCAATATGTGAATAATCTTATAGTACTCTTAAAAATTATAGTTATTTTTAGATTATTTAAAAATATTGATTATAATTTTCAGTATAATACTGAAACAGTATTTATCAATATTTTAAAAATTTGATAATATATTAATATTTAGTTTGTATGTGTAAAACATTGTTTGACGTTAACAGTGTGTTTGTTTGTTTGTTTAACTAGTAATAACCGGTAAACTATTTAATAATTTTTAGTTTTGTTATTAAATTGATAATTAAAATTTGATTACCGGTAACTTTAAAATTGATAAATTTTTAAATAAAATTATAATCTTGTAATTTTTTTTTGTTAACAATAATTATTATAGCTAAAAATTATAGTTAAAAAACTGATAAACAAATATAATAAATTAAATTTTTAAGAAAATTTTAAGAATATAAATTTTAAGAAAAAAAAAATTCAAGTAGAGAAAATTAATATATAAATATTTATTTTTTTATCTAATTATTGATATTAATAATTACATAATTATATTTTATATTATATATACACACAGTACAGTATTTCCTATTTTCATAAAAATATCAATATATTATAAATTATTATTATTAAGTGGTTATTGAAAATGAACTTAATTTTTATCCCTATTAAGTGGTTTGATGTCTGACATTGAAAACAAACCGGTAATACATTTAAAATAAAATAAATATTTTATTTTTTTACTAGACGTTCAATGTTTGTTGAATTCATACAATTATTTAAAGTATATATAATATAAATTATATACATATATAAGTAATAAGTATCGATATCATTAAAAATTATCAATTAATAAAAATAAAAAAATTAATACCTAATAAGCAATATCTCCAATGAGTGCAATGCAGGTAATAGGTTGACAATAGCCGAGCCCAGGGAGTAGCAGAGCACAGACATAAATGCCAAAAATATGCCCAGTGCTGGTATATGGCGTCGCTTTTGAGGCTCATTAGCGGCGGTCAGAAGATTGGTCTCCGATTTGTAGGTCACTGTCAATGCCGTCGACGACGCCAGCGATGCTACCGACGGCGCCCGAGAGTTATGGCCCATCGTTGAGCCGGTCATTGAATTATTTGCATTCATATCTGACGACTGGTGTTTCTCACTGACCTCCCTGTGCTTGTCGTTGTCATCACATATGGTTTGGTATGAGCTGTTGTTGTTTGATTTGGACATCAGTTTTGTTGACTTGAATTTTGGATGAAATGGTGATAACAATCGTGACGTCTCCTCTTCTTCATCGCTGATAATATCGACTTTTGTCATAATTTTTATTTATTATTATCAGTATTTAGTTAATTAAATATTTATACACACAATATATATAATATATAAATACTGTATTTAATTAATATAATTAAAATACAGTTATTTTTTAAAATAAAAAAAATAATTTACTTTAAAAAATAGTTAAACTTTGCCATAAAGTATTATAATTTAATTTTTTTATATATAATATTATACATTAGTATTGTTTGGACAACTCGTATATGAAAATCAAATAAAAGCATTATTTATTTATTATAATATTAACAAAACAAAAAAACAAATATTGAAAATGAGATAATAATATACCGATATATTTATATAGAAATTTGTTTAACAAAAGTCTTAAATACTGTAAATTATTATCATATCTATTAATATGAATTTTTTTCGGAGAGAGAGAGAGAGAGAGAGACTCATAATGTAATGCTAATAATAATATGTATTGAGTGCTTCAAACTTTATCAGTTTTTTTTTGTATACTGTATTTATATGACAAACTAAACTATCACCAAATGTTTGGTACAGTATATATATATTGAAAAAAAACTACAGTTTCACTTGTTTGAAGCACTAGTGATTAAAACAGTATTTTTTAATCAATAATTGATTTATCATATCATTTATTAATAAAAAGAGGCACTCAGTTAGCAGTTAGTATAGGACGTGAATAGGACTGTACAGTACTGTTGCTGATAGACTACTAATATATAATTATAACATATTTTATTATAAAATTAATTTATATGTAAATTTAAATATTTTTATTGTGAATATAGCTAACAACTATTTTTAAAAAAAATATATAACTTAAAATAAAAACATTTTTTAAAAAACTTTTTTAACTTAAATTAATTACACAGTTTGATGTAGAAAATAAAATAATTAAAATCAATTTATGATTTAAGAAAAATTCTAATAAATATAGTAAAATAAAATTTTACTAAAATATTTCAATTATAATTAAAGTAATTGTTTTTTTAAAATTATTTTTTGGTTTGTCTATGAAGTAAAATATTTTATATTTTTTAGCAATATTTGTTTGTATCAGTTGTCGAAATAACAATTGTCTTACATTTATATGAACTATATTTTTAAATTGATTTAAAAAAGATAGTTATTATCAAACATTTTGCAACAATTACTGTAATCACATTTGATTTTAGGATTCAATTTATTGTTCGTATGTTATAAGTGTTGTCGTAAACAATGATTTGTTGTAAAACTTTTCAAAACACTCATTGACTAAACAAACAAATCGTTTATTACATAAATGTTTAAATTTATGTTTAATTAAATCAATTTTCTGACTAAAAGTTTTGTCGCAATATTCGACATCACATTTAAATAATTTGTAATTCAGACGAACAATAATTTTGTTGTTTTGTTTGAAACAGTATATGAATAACACATTCAATGCATTCATAAAATACATGATAAAGTATTGATGAATTTTTTAAAAAAAAATATTCATAAATTAGATTATTAATAGTATAATGTTTCGTATCAAACATATAATACTTTTACTAGATTTTATAAATTAATATTATAGTCAATATAAAAAAGTACAGTTTGCTAATGTTGTATAAATATAATATTTTTATAATATATTAATATTACAGACTACAGTATTAATATAATTATTTTATTGATATAAACTTTTAAAAAATATCTTAATGTAATATCATATAATAATATTGAATAAGTAAAATTTCTAATCTATATAAATAAGTAATTACATAAACATATTAATATATATATATATATATATATTTAAATGTTTAACAAAAATTTATTAAATCTATTTAAGGTTTAAAATAACTCAATTGCATGAATGTGTTCATCGATGTTGTCTTAAATAAATTGTTTGCCACAGTTGTCGTCGACATTGCATTTATAATAATTTTAAACCCAAAAAATGTTCAACACTTTTGTGTCTATTTAATGAAGATATGTATGTAAATAGTTTGTCACAATTGTTATAATCGCATCGGTATTTCGGTTCAATTGAATGGTTGCGTAATATGTGTTGTCGTAAACAATGATTTGTTGTAAAACTTTTCAAACACTTTTTCACTGAACAAACAAATAGATGTTTAGATAAATGTAATAATTTATGTCTTTTTAAATGAATTTTCTTATCAAATGTTTTATAACAATAATTGATATCACATTTGAATTGGTTTTGTAGTGAATGTACTCTATTTTGATGAACAGTTAAGTTATATTTTTGAGTAAAACTTTTAAAACAATTATTACATTTAAATCGTTTCATTAAATGAATACTAGATTTATGTTTAATTAAGTTTGATTTATTATAATATGATTTATTACAATCATTTACATCACATTTGAATGATTTAACTGATGAATGACTCAATTGATGTGAATATAAATTATATTTAGTTTTAGTTTTAAACCAACATTTAGGCCAAAAACATGTAAATCGTTTGTTTTTATTCAAACGTATTTTATTATCTATAATACAGTCATAATAATTAATAAATATTTTTAATGATTTATTACAACAATTTGTTTCAATATTTTTAGTATTTTCATTAAAGTTGTGTATAATAAGTATTTCACAAAATTTGTAATTAATTTGTTGTAAATTTGTTGTCAAACTTTTTAATTCATTGAATTTATTTAAATTGCTTTTCAATTCATTTAATCTCTTACTTATTGAACACATTTTTTTTGATAATTTTTAATAATTTAGTAATTTTTTTCAATCCATACAATAACACTAAATAAAATATTTAGTTAGTTTCAAGATATGCAAACAATTACTAAATATATTACTGTTTTATTTTAAATATTTCTTTTTATATGATGTTATTTATATTACCATTATTTACATTAATTACACAACATTAGTATAAATATGTTTAATATATTATATACTGTACTAATAAATTTATATGTATTACTTTTATATCATTAGTTTTCAAATAAATAATTTTGAAGTCAATGAACTAAAAAATAAATCAAATCAACTTTATTTAAAAATAAACAAAAAAAATGTTTTATTATTATTTTACTTATTATATCATAAAACTCATTACTGTTTAATTAGCTAAAATTATTTATTTATTTTGTACCAATTGAACACATTTTCAAACTACTAATTATATGAATAATTTGTATGCTTTTATATATACGTATATTTCTATAATACTATAATAACATTTTAATAGTTTTATAAACAAATTTAATAAAATAATTTGTGTGTCAAATGTTTTTCAATATTTTATTATATAAAAGCAATTAATTTTTAAAAAATATTTATATAGCCATTTTGTATGTAATATTATTATTGCTTTATATCAATTAATGAGAAAACATTTTTTTAAATATAAAAACTTAATCAGATAGTGATAGATAATAATGTTTTTTTTGTGTCAATAAACTAAAAGCAATATACTAAAAGCTAACTAAATTAATACAATATATAATATTTCATAATTATAGAAATAATATATAAATAATATTTAAAAATATTTTTTGTTATATTTAAATTCAATAAATTTTATTATAATTTTTTTTAAAATTTTGTTTATTATTTTATAGAAAATATATTACAAATTAATTACATTTATTTTTTTTAATTTTTAATGTAATATTCATTAAATATAACATTAAATTTTAGCAACAATCGTCAAATCAATAATATTAAATATATGTAACTTTATTTTACATCAAATATATGAGATATTATTTTTATTAACTGTGTCTTTGTTGATGTCCTATAAGATTAGATTTATAAGTGATAGTTTTGTTGCAATAATTAACATTAAATTCAAATGATTTCAAGTTTTTCATATGAATAGTAAACTCAAGGTAAACTTTATTTAAAATCTTTTGTAACAATTATTATAATCACAAGTAAATTATAGATTTCGAGGAAGTTATCGGTGTTTGCATTGAATAAAAATATTATTTAGAAAATAATTTTTGCAACAAACAAATTGTTTAATATTAAAGTCTAATAATATGTATTAATATCTACAAAAAATGTCTCATAATATTATTGATAAAATAAGGCTAAAAATGTATATTAAAAAATACATTAAAATTTATTTTAGTAATTTTTAGCAATAATTTAATTGCAGTTATTTATAGTAAGTATTTTAAAAAAACTAATTATTAATTAAATTCAAATTTTTTATAGAAATTTTTTCAATCAAAAAAAAAAAATAAATTAAATAAATTAATTAAAATTGGTTTTAAAATAAATCCATAATTAGAAAATAGTTAGAACCGGCTATATAGACAAACTGATATAATTCATAGCTATTCATTGGAAATAAATCATAACAATAGACACCGATTTCGGGTCCCGACAATCGATTTATAAAGTTTTCCACTTTCATGGCCTGAATACGATTACCAGTAGTAGTAGTAGTAGTATTGCGTCCGAAATACCCATACATTATGTCATAAGAGTTGTGTGCTGTTTGACTAATACGGGTGCATATAATGGTCATCAAAATGACTGCACAAAAACAAAATACAGTTATCAGAGCACAAACTGACCGGCCGTACGGCGATATATCGGTTTTGTGTAGTCCGTAGAGTACAACCTGAAAGCCGGGAACAGCCATATAGTAGATAATAAATACAAAGTATTTGATACTGTGATTACAGTCGCGGACAGTTAGCTCATAGTATTTGTGTTCATTAATTGCTCGCCAGAGTCCAGGATAATCACCAGTTTGAATACTGGACTTAATTTTCTGATTAATTTCCCGATATTTTAGTATAAAATAATAGCTAAACCCAACCCATACGCTAACGGCTGTCCAAAGTAGACTAAACATCTGTATTGATAACATAGCTATATTGATGTCCCAGAATATGATGACAGCTAAAGACGAGTACCGACCACCTGACTGAACGTACAGCCATTTGGTTGTAGCAAAGTGTACGCCAGTCATAATAATGACGGCCGGTTTGTAGACAATTTTGATGAACACGCCGACCATTACCGACAATAGTCGGGCAAACTTACGCTTGTTTTCTGCATTTAACGGATATCTAATCTGTTCGGTTTTGATCAGATAGACTGTTTCAAGCATCGGTAGGCTATTGAAACAGTCCTGATAGTTGAGTATCGATCCGCAAGTCCACGTAATAGTTGTCAACAATATGATCCATGTGTTGGTCATCGATTCGTTACCGTATACGTGACCAGTCGGACACAAATACCATCGGACGGTAGGCCTGTTCAGGAATATCTGTGCCAATAGATATCGTAGTGGAAATAGTAGACAAAATAATTTGCTAACAACTATAGCAATATAATAGTTTGTTTTGATAGGCTGTCCACTGGCGTAGTCGTCAATTGTTCGGATGAATACTAAATATTTTCTGCCAAACTTATCGATGCAATTAATACTATCAGTAATTAATTGGTTTGGATTATTATACATTGATTTGAGATATGCCAATAAAGATGCCATTGATTTACTGTATATATATTTTTTATAAAATTAATCTCTAACAATAATTTTAGACAATTATATTATTAGTATAAATATAATTTGAAGTTGAATTAGTAATAGGAAATAGTAGTTAATGTATGAATAATTTTACATCAATAATATACTGTTCATGAATAGTATAAATAAATAATTGTATTAAGTTAAAAATAGCTAAATTATTTTTATTGAAAATATAAAAATCAAATAAATACATACAGGTTTATAATTTATTTTATTGTACAGGTATACATGCAATAAATGCAAATAATTTATAATTAAATATATTTTTACATAAGATTCAAGTAAATATTAAACAATATTAAGTAAATAAATGTGACTATTTTAATCGAAATGTTTTAAAAAAACTTATTGCTTATACAGTAAAAAGTTTTAAAAATTATCATTTATAAAACTGTATTTACAAATTAAATATTTAATAAAACAAACTTCATATGAGTCAAATGTTTTATACAAATTCATGTTATTATATATATCTAATCATGCGATTAAATAAATAAATTAATTAAAATTTTTTAAAATAAATCCATAATTAGAAAATAGTTAGAACCGGCTATATAGACAAACTGATATAATTCATAGCTATTCATTGGAAATAAATCATAACAATAGACACCGATTTCGGGTCCCGACAATCGATTTATAAAGTTTTCCACTTTCATGGCCTGAATACGATTACCAGTAGTAGTAGTATTGCGTCTGAAATACCCATACATCAAATCGTACGACTTGTGTGCCGCTTGGCTAATACGGGCGACCAATGAGGTCAACAAAATGACTGCACAAAAACAAAAAACAGTAATCAATGCACACATAAACCTGCCGTACGATGAACTGTCCGTTTTGTGTACACCATAGATGACTACCTGAAAGCCAGGTATTGCCATATAGTAGATAATAAATACAAAATATTTGATACATTCATTAAAGTTGCGAACAGTTAGCTCGCAGTGTTTGTGTTCAGCGATTGTCCGCCAAAGTGCCGGATAGTCTCCAGTTTGTAGACTTGACTTAATTTTTTGGTTAATTTCACCAAATTTTAGTGTCAAATAATAGCTCAAAACTATACAAAAGGTTACAGATAGCCAAAGCATACTAAACATCTGTATGGAAACCACTGTCATAATGATGTCCCAAAACGTGATGACACCCATAGACGAGTACTGACCCTCTGACTGGATATACAACCATTTGGTTGTAGCAAAGTGTACGCCAGCTGTGATAATGACGGCCGGTATGTAAACAATTTTAATGAAAAACAATACCATTAGCGACAATAGTCGGGCAAACTTACGCTTGTTTTCTGCATTCAACGGATACCTAATCTGATCTGTTTTGATCAGATAGGCTGATACAAGCATCGGTAGACTATCGGTACAGTCCTGGTAGTTGATTATTGTTCCGCAGGTCCACGTAATAGTAGTCAACAATATGATCCATGTGTTGGCCATCGATTCGTTACCGAATACGTAACCAGTCGGACACAGATACCATCGGATGGTTGGACTGTTCAGGAATATCTGTGCCAATATATAGCGTATGGGGAATAGTAGACAAAATAATTTGCTAACAACTATAGCAATATATAGTTTTGATTTGATAGGCTGTCCACTGGTGTAGTCGTCGATCGAGCGAACGATTACCAAATATTTTGTACCAAATTTTTGTATACAATTAAAACTATCATTAATTAATTGGTTTGGATTAGTATTTATAATAAAGAATGATTTAAAAAATCCTAATAGTGAAGCCATTGGATTATTATTTTTTAAAATTTTATTTTTTCTATACTAATTATTATTTTTTGAAAATTACATTTTCAATCAGAATTAGCAATTAATATGATAATAGTAGTTAAAGTAAAATATTAATAAATTATTATAATAATAATATTTTATACTATATTTGTAATTATATAATAATTATTATAAGATATTATATGATATTATAAGTTAAATAATTTAAAACTGTATTGAGCTAAAAATAGAAAAATTATTTTTATATTACCGGTAAATACATATAAATCAAATATTTATTTATACAAGTTATATTATTGTACAGATATAAATGCACCTAATTTTTTATTAAAACTATTAAATATAAAATTCAAGTAAATATTATTAAATAAAATATATAAATTAAATAAATATGACTATATATTATAATTATAAAATAAATTTTAAAAATAGCCATTTATAAACTATAGTTACAATATAAATTAAGTATCTAATAAAAACAGTTTAATATTTTTGATGCTAAGTAAACTTGAAAAATTCTAATAATAAATTTCAATATTTTATTATTTTTAATTATAATTTATTTTTAAAATAACTTATATTATTTATATTATTAACAATTTCATATTAATAAAAATTAAGTAATAAAGTTCAAAAAAAATTTTATAACACCAAATATGACAAACATTTTTTAAACAAACATTGTATATATATATATATATATTAACTAGACGTTTGAATTAATATAACCGTATAATTCAAAACAAATATAAATATCTGTAAACAGAAAAAATTGTTTAAATTAGATAATGACTATTAATATTTATTTATTTATTTTTAAGTTTAGGGACAATTATATAATATATATAATACCGCTATGAGAGTAGATCTATCTAACGGTGCAAATCCTCCAATAGTAAAGCCAATAGCATTGGTGGTCAACATATCGGTTGTTAAATCGCGAAATTTATGCCATTCCTTGAGCTCGTCGTCCGACATATTAATTGAAATAACAAAACAATTGCCAAGTTTTGCCAATTCTAGTATTTTATGTTTCAATGATCCGCATATCAGACACTGTATGGTAAACATAACGGCATATACACAGCAAAATATTGCCGTAATTGTCGACATATTTAGAAAATACTGATATTGATGGTTACGACACAATACGTTAATACCAAACATTAATGATATAATCATTTTGATTACGCTTATCATTACTATATAAGTAATATGGGAATCAATTTTATCGATATCACGATTAAGTTTAAGCAAACGTTTGCTTGCTGATTTTAGTTTCATAGATAATCCAGGTTTATCTTAGTTTAATTAACAAATTTAATTAACAAATATATATAAAATAATTTAATTTTAAATTTGTACTTTTCTATCTCAATAATAAATTGATTACTACTTACTATTTAATTTATTAGCATATTCATTGGTCAAATCAACTTGTATTTGATCTATAATAGCTAAATTACCAAGTATAGTTAACCATTGAATTAAGGGTATAATCATGTATGACATAAATGTAACTAGGTAATATGTTGAGTTAATTAATAGTTCTATCGTTGGTTGTGTATTATTTTTAAAATAAATAGCTATTACTGATAAAACTAAAAACAGTTTATGTCCCAAAAATATAACAACTATAAATAGAAATTTTTTAGATATGACCATGCTTGAATTTTCATATTGTTGTGATTGTAAAAATATATTGAAAATTCTAGCTAGATCATTATAGCTAAATATATTTACATAGACAGTTATTATTATTGTTTCGATTACATAGAATAATTGAATTGAAAAATTACAAACTGTAAACAATAGTGAAAAACTATTGTATTGGTTAATTGATGTGAAAACATTAGGCAATAGAAATGTACTGGCTACTATTAATAGTAATAGTGTTACCAAATAACCATAATATTGCCAAAATTTCTGGGAAATAATTTTCAATGATTTGCCATCAATTGTTTCTAACATTAGGCCACCAAATGTTAGTCCACATATACGATGACACCATAGAATTATTTTGAAAAACATGATCACGTATTTTGTTTGTAATTTCATTATTATGATTATTATTATTTAAATTTATTTTTTCATATAATTTGTATATTAATGTTTTATAAAAAATAGTTTTTGCAAAAATAAAAAAATAATAATAAATTCAATACATATAAACTAAAAATATATTTATCAATCATATTGATTGTTAACTTTTTTTTCATTAATATAAGTGCATTAAAAACTTATTTTGATATTTAACTATTTATTTATTTACATTTACAGAATAATTCTATTATATATAATAATGTATATAAATATATAAAAATTATTTTTGATTTATACAAAAATAAATACTATTATTAAAATAGTATTTATTTTTGTATAAATCAAAAATAATTAAAATGCTAATAATTAATACTGTTATATTGCCATGACACTTTTTTTATTATTTATAAATTTATTATTTATTTGTCAATAGTAGGTAAATAAATGTTGTATTTATTTCAATTACAATAACACTGTATATTTTATTAAGTAAATTGAGTTTTCTATTTTGTATTTTAAACTAATGTGAAAATCAATAACAAAATTCATATTTAAAAAATAATAATATATTTTTATGTAACAGTAATATAAATATAATATTACAATATTTTAATAATTTTAATAATGATTATTAGGAATATTAAAATAAGACAATTATTAAACATTTATTTCTAAAAAAATTAAATAACATATATTATTATTAATTCATAATATAAATGTTTATATTTTGTTAACACGTTTTGTATTCATTAATTTAAAATATTATTTATAGATTTTATACTGTATTATACACTGTATATAATATACAATATCATATATATTTTACAATATCTCTTATTTAAAAAAATAAAAAATATTTATATAACTATATCTAAATAAATATTTAAAATGTTTTTACAAAAAATATAAGTTATCATAGAATCACATTAATTATATAATTGATATTTTCAAAAATTTTTCTATTACTTAAAAACAGTTTCTTTGTTATTTTTTAAAAAAAATATAACAAAAAATAAACAAGCTAAAAGTATTAATTTTATTATTTGTAAATATTTACAGTTTACTATATCATATCAATAATGATATACCGACCTCAAGGTGTGGTAAAATACATAAAATTATTACACGAAATATTAATATATTATTTGTTAAAAAAATAAAATTATAATGAATTCATATACATATATGTATTTGTTATTTATTAATATTACTACTGTATTATGATTATACTGTATATTTTGATAGTAATAATAATAAACTATATAAACATAATTAAAATGATTTTTTCAAATTCATTTAGTTTCATAATTTTTGTATGTCATCGTTAATACTGTGTATTATTTATAAACATTTTATACTATTACTAAAAATATTTAATAAAATAAAATACTAACACAAATTAAACTTAGTTAACAAAAAAATTTAGTATTAATTTACTTCAAAAAAATTGTTCAAAACATTTATTATATTAATGATATTGTTATGATAAAGTTAATTTTGTTATTATTAATATTATTATTAATAGGTTTTTATTATTATTATTATATTATAATAATATGTGAACCAAATTATTTGGGAAGACTTAAAATCCCACAAATTATAAGCAGTAAAACATTTGAAATAAATGATAACAAACAACACCTACTACTCGACCGATACGTTAGTCTGTCAGTGGCTCAACAATTAGTGGCCAAACTGTCCGATGCTAAGCACCAGTATCTAGAATTTGATGGACTAGTGCACCGATACTCGCAACCCATAGTACCCGATATTGTACATCAGATAATGTTTACAATACATGAAATACAATTCATACACTATATATCATTGTTATCGGTACTGAAAAATCATAGACCGGCAGTCATTGTGATTCACTGCGATTGTAACCGATTGACCGGTCATTACTATGAACGACTGATACGTAGGATTGCCTACACAAACACTACATTAATATTACGTGAAATCAAAAAACCGACACATATTTTCGGTAAACCACTTAGTCGTCGGTTTAGAGACTATCACGCGGGAGATATCACCCGTATTACAGTATTGTCACAGTTTGGTGGCATTTATTTTGATAATGATATCTATGTTGTCAAAAGTCTACACGAGTTTCGCAACTATGAAATGACATTTCAGTTGACATTCAAAGATAGCAAACCGAGTGTCGGTCCGCAAGCAATGATAGTTCACCGAAACGCCCGGTTCTTAAAGATATGGATCGATTCGTTTCACGATTATAGGGCTGACTCGTGGTTCTATACGGGCGGTGAACTGCCCGGTAAGTTGGCTCAGAAAAACCGCAACATTATCAATGTTATCAGTGGAACATCGTTTGGCTGTTCATCGGAGGTATGTCCTAAATTGTATGCCATGTATTATCCTGAATGGGAAAGGGATTACTATACTATACATACGTATATTCGGAGCAACTATTTCTATCATCACGGCTGGTGTATGCATGGCTATCATACGGATGTATTGTATTATAACGAGACAATTGTTGAAACAGTTAACAACACATTTGCCGATATGTGTCGTAAGATTTTGCATTGGGAATCAAACTAAATATATTTAATAATCTATTTGTTATTATTATAAATATTTTAAATATATTATAAAGTTTTTATTACATATATTATATACCATACATTGTTTGTATTATAGTTATAAATATTCAATTAGTATAATTATAATTATTAATGTTTTTTAATTATTATAAGTTAAACATTATTTTATTGTTTAATAAAATTTAATAAATGTTATATGTGTGCTAAATTTAAAAAATAATTATATTTATATATTTTTTAAAAATAAAAAGTAATAATTGTATAAACAGATTATAATTTTTGATAATATAATAAATTACTATAAAATAAACTAATATAACTAAATAAAAGTTTTATAAAATTATAAAAATACTTTTTTACATTTATTATACATTTAAAAAAAATTGTCACATCATTTGGTTATTTTTATATAAACATTAAACTAGTTAATAGTTTTCAGTATAATTAATACTGTATTGTAATAATTAGTACAAAAAAAATACTTAACAAAAAAATTATTTGAGATAATTTCAAATAAATAATATATTTGACTTATTTATATACTTTTTAGATAATAATAATAATATTTATAATAAAAAGAATGAATTTAAATAATTTATTTTTAATTTTATTTTATTTTTTTTAATTATAAATTATTTTATTTTCTATCTATTATCAAGAAATTAGTGAATAATATTTATTAATAATATTTTTAAAATAAAAACTTAATTAACTATTATGCAATTCATAAATATTTAAGGTTATATAAGTTATTGATTAACAATAGAATATTATTATAAATTAATAGATAATTATTCAATAATAATACTCAATAAGAATAATACAATATTTTTTTTAGTTGTTATGAAAGTAGTATTAGGTATAGACTAAATATAGGCGCCATCTATTGTTCTCTATTGTTTTAAATAAAAATAAAGAGGGGAGAAAAACATTATAATTTTGTTCAGTACATTACATTACATTCATATAATACATAAATAGTACAATACAATAAACCTGTTTCCTGATCCTGGATTCCAGAAACCTAGATCCCGGTTAGACGTTGGCTTTTATGATTGGAATTAAAGTTACTGTATCTCTTTGTGTCAGTGCATTGGATCAATAGACAACTATTGGTATCTCTTTCGACTTATTCAAAGAACCAGTAACCCTCCCGAATCCTTCCAACATCACATTTTTAATTATCAACTTTTGATTAATAGATTTCAACAATAACATCGTTGTCATCACTGTCCTTACCACCCAATTTGCCTTCAGCTATTCTGGCGTCGTGCGGCAAATATGACCTGACAGTACTGATACCAATCACATACTGTTTCCATTTATGTTGTACTCATTCTCTCACCAATTAGGAGCATCTAATTAAAAGCTCTAGTAGCATCTTCATATGTTAACTTATTTGCAAAACAATAAGTTAAAAAAATAACCTATAACAGATAATTGATTTATTTATGTATTGTTTGTAAATAATCACAAATTTTTTACCTTTAATGGATTGACTTCTTTTTCAAATTTTCAAATGCAATCCATATATTTTCAGCAATTGATTTGTAGCAGACTTTCCCCTATTTCAACCTTTATGGGCTCTTTGACATCTCCATCTTCAGTGCCGATCACCATTCAAGTCTGGTGTGCATTCACCACGGCTTTGGTTAAATCCACATATTGTTTCTTGTGTCGGATGGGGAAGCAACTTGTTGTTTCGAAGAAAGTTGTACGTCCTTTCTTTATTGGTTAACAACTGGCCTAATCAAAATAAATTATAAGCCATAATTGAATTAATGAATCAATGACTGTCTAACTAACAATGTAATTATATATTTTATATACTGAAATAAATCAGCAAAAATATATTATACTCCTAATCAATATATACTAACTTTATTATAATATAATGTAGATAGTGTAGTATACTGTACGATAAATCTTTTAATCTAGGTAATCTCTTTAGATATGTATATATAACCTATTGATTAATATTTAGGGTCAATAGCACGATACTTCTTTATTCGTCATGGCCGTGAAGCGGTACTGAAGTCTCGCCTTATATATTTATGTATTTACTTTCATTAATAATCTAGTAAAAATGAATTTTATTTGAAAAATGTAATAAATATTTTAAAAGTAACGATCGCTTTGTAAAGAACAACAAATGTTGATAATTTTTATAAATTTTAATATAAAAAATCTAGTATATTTTATATTTTATAAATTACATATGTTAAATGATTGGATAAATATTATACCAACATTGTTGGGCAAGGCATGCTGTAATAAATTCAAAAAAAATTAATAATAATAATAATAATAAATTAATGTTAAGTAAAACCATCCCAGCCGATATAAGCAATCGTATAATAAACTGTATTAATTTTTTAATTTTTTGTAAATGATTTTATGCTTATACAGTTTAATTCAAATATATTGATAAAATATAAGTTTTTAAACTTCATAAACTTTTATATCTTAAAATATATGGAGATTATTAATAAATATTTAAATAATGGATTAAAATCCTTTATTTTGATATATCACATGATATATAAAACATTTTAAAATTCCATTTAAAAGCAAAGAAAATAATAAGTGTGGACCAGAAGAGGAGGCTCGAAGAACACTCCTATGTCACTGGAGCCGGGGGTCACAACAGCAAAGGGGTTCATATCGGTAACAAAGGACTTGTCGTTGACTAGGGGGTCTAGTAATGTCGAGGGTTACCAACTCACCCTTGCGGAGCACATGTAATTTATCTGGGTATTATACCCAGATGAATTTGTCTTTCAACAAGACAATGCTCCGGCACAAAGTCCGCTACAAACGGGAATGACTGGAGAACGAGGGGTATACAGTTTTGGACTGGCCACCCTTTTATCCAGACCTTTATCCCATTGAAAATCTCTCGCTATAATGAAGGCCGAACTCGAGAAAGACCCGGATCGCTCGGTCACCTATTGTTCCCAAACATCTGAAGTCCCTCATTGAAAGGATGCCGCGCAGTATAGAAGACTGCATTGCGGCCAATGGGGACAAAATTAAATATTAATTATTATTTTAATTATTTATATTATAATTTATTTTTTAATAAACATTATTTTTAATTATAATTATTTAAATATGATTATCAATATTATTGAACTAAACTATTTTAATTCCATTTCCGTTATAGTGGACCTCCGTTATCCTACTGCCATAACTACTATCATATATAATAGAAATAATTATTTTTTAAAAATATGTTCAATAAATGAGATATTGAGTGAATTGAATAGTAATTTCAATCAATTAAATCAATTGAAAAGTTTTGACAAAAAGTTTTCAACTAATTAGTGAAAAGTTGTCACAAATTTAGTGTTGAAAAATGATAGCAATATTATTTCAATTAATGAATAAAAATAAGTGTCCAAACTATTTAAAGTATTAACTATTATTAAACTATTATTAACTAAATTATTATTTTTTTTAAATATTGTACTATAAATTAGTTATTTTTCAAAACACAAATCTATTTATTAATTAGAAAATTATCAAAGAAATTAGTTATCAAATAACTTGAAATACTTAGGCGTTGTTCACATATTACGTTCGCAGTTTTTTAAAAATCTAGACCCCCCCCTATGTTCGCAATTGTTCGCATGTAATGATATTTAAAAATTACGTTCGCATGTCCTTAACCCCCCACCATTTAAATGAATATTTTATAAAATTATTTTCACTTTTAAAATAATCAAATAATAAAATAAATAATTATTATTCAAAAGTCATATATTTATTCAAAATTAGTTATTAAACCGTTTATCAAAGGAATAAGTTAACTCAAAATTAATCCCTTAAATTCATTCATTATTTAAATGCGAACGTTCTTATAGACTTTACCCCCCCCTCCCCCCTCGTTCGCAAAAGTTCGCTTTGGCCGACCCCCCCCCCTCCCCTCAAGTGCTAACGTAATATGTGAACAACGCCTTATAATTATTATAACATTTTTACAATATTGATGACAACTTTTATTATGAATTTTTTCTAAGTTAATATAAAAATCGATTAAATAAGTATCAGTTTAGTTATTGATAGTAATTTATAAAAAAATTTAATTAAAGTTTAATAATGTATTTTTTGTATAAATATTTTATATTATCTATTAATAAATTATTACATCAATATTAAATTACATAGTTTTATTTAAATATAAATACATTAAATATTTATATTTTGATTATAATGTTTATAAGTAATATTAAATTTAAATCAAATCATAAAACATGTATAAAATATTAAATATCATATATTATTATTAATTCATAATATAAATGTTTATAATTTGTTAACACGTTTTGTATGCATTAGCTTCAAAATATTATATAATAAAATTTATTTTATACAGTATCACGATTTTAATAAACTAAATAATATTTAATATTAACCGGTATGTAAACAATTTATGTATAATTTTATTATTTTTATATTTTTAAAAATTATTTAGTGACATAAAGTCACATTTTGTTACATTATAAATTTATTATTGATATTTTTTTGAAAATTTTCTATTATTTAATAATTTTTGTTTGTTTGTTGGTTATATTACTACAAAAACAACAAAAATGAACAAGCTAAAAGTGTTAATAATTTTATTTATAATATTTACAGTTTACTACATCATATCGTTACCGATATACGGACCTCAAGGGTTGGCACGACATAAAATGTTGACACAACAAATTGATAAATATCGGCAAAACAATGGCCAAACTATTATACTTGACCGACACGTTAGTCTGGCATTAGCCCAACAATTGGTCGGCCAATTGGCTAATGCCGAGTACCAGGACTTTGAATTTGATGGTCCGGCGCACCGATACCCTGAACGGATAGTGCCCGACGTTGTACACCAAATACTGTTTAAAATACATGAAATACAATTCATACACTTTATATCGTTGCTGTCGGTACTGAAAAATCATAGACCGGCAGTCATTGTCATACACTGTGACTGTAACCGATTGACCGGCAATTACTATGAAAGTGTCGTACAAATGATTGACCGGATAAACACAACTACATTGATATTACGTGAAATCGAGAAACCGACACATATTTTCGGTAAACCATTGAGTCGACAGTTTAGAAATTTTCATGCGGGAGACATCATGAGAGCGATGGTATTATCAGAGTTTGGGGGTATATTTCTAGACAACGATATCTATGTTATCAAAAGTTTGCACGAGTTTCGCAACTATGAGATGACATTTCAAGTGGGCAGAGGTAGCAAAGCGAGTGTCGGTCCGCAAACACTGATTGTTCACCGAAACGCCCGGTTTCTGAAAATATGGATCGACTCGTTTCACGATTATAGACCTGATCTGTGGTTCTATACGGGCGGCGAACTGCCCGGTCGGTTGGCTCAGTCACATCGGGATATTACCAATGCTAAGGATAACAATCCGTTTGGTATTTGGTCGGAGGTATGTCCTAAATTGTATGCCATGTATTATCCGCAATGGGATAGGGATTACTATACAATACATATGTTTATTCGGGGCAACTATTTCTATCATCACGGCTGGTGTATGCATGGATATCATACCGATATACTCTATTATAACGAGACAATTGTTGAAACAGTTAACAACACATTTGCCGATATGTGTCGTAGGGTTTTGCATTGGGAAAGACAACAACATCAACAACAACTTAGGATTGACTATTAATATTAATATATTAATTATATAAATATTGAAAAAATATAAATAAAATATTTTTTTTAAACTAATTTAATTCTTAAATATATTTTTTATTATTTAATTTTTTTCTACATAAGAAAAACATTTCTAGCATATCATGTTTAAATTAATGATATAAACAGTTAACCTATTTGCATTTTAAAATATATAACTATTAATAATATTATTTTCATTAAATAAAATTTATAAAAAAAATTACAATTGTATTTATTTTTATAAATAATTTATTTTTAAGAATTAATGTTTAAGTCATTGAAATATTAAAATATTCAAATACATATTAAAATGATTTTTCAATTTAATTTAGTTCATAATTTTAACATATCATTAGTTAATACTGTGTATTTACACATAAGTAATTAAAAATATTTTATTAATTTATTAAAGTATTATAAAATATTTAATGTAATAATATTTACTAATATTTGCTATTTTTATATTGTTTATAACTAGTGACTTTAGATATATGTGACTAAAATTTATGTTTTATTGAATTAAATATTTGCTTAAAAACATAAAAATATATTATTATATTTTGTTAAAATAGTCAAAATATGTGGTTATATTTAATAACAATTTAAAAATTGTGTACAATTAATGATAAATTAATTTTTTTTTATCAAAACTTTTAAACTCTTAGTATAAATTAAAATCAATACAAATAAATATTTAAATCTTATTGTCTTTTATTAGATATTAGAAATTAGTAGAATTTTAGAAAACATAAATATTATGATACAGTATTTGTCTAAAATTATGAAATAGTAATAATGTATAATACATTAAATAAAAATAAAATGCTTTTTTATTTTAAAATATTGAAAAAAATAATACATATACTAAAAAAACATAATAAAAATGTATTTTTACTATTATTATCCATTATATTATAGTTATATGCAAAATATGTGCTTATATTTGATAATATGTGACTACCTTTTAAAATATGTTGTTATATGTGTTTATGTGACTAAAACTTTTGCTATAATAATCAGTTTTCAATCAATTGCTTATATATCTAATTATTTTGTTAATATCTTTAATCACTAAAAATATAAGTTATATGTGAAATAAATGCTCTATTTATAACTTATTAATTCTACATTATTAATATTTATGATTAAATTAATATTTTTATTATTAGTAATTATATTAATTGGTTTTTAATTGAACCAATTGACTGGTCATTACTATGAACGAGTGCTACGTAGGATTGCCTACACAAACACTACATTAATATTACGTGAAATCAAGAAACCGACACATTTTTTTCGGTAAACCACTTAATGTTAATATTTTAGAGTATCATTTGGAAGATATCACACGTATTACCGTATTGTTACAGTTTGGTGGCATATATTTTGATAATGATATCTATGTTGTCAAAAGTCTACACAAGTTTCGCAACTATGAGCTAACACTTCATTTAACTTACAAAGACGGTGACCATCGGTTAGCTTATGTCGGTCCGCAAACACTGATAGCTAACCGAAACGCCCGGTTTATAAAGATATGGATCCACTCATTTCACGATTATAGAGCCGACTTGTGGTTCTATACGGGCGGCGAACTGCCCGGTAAGTTGGCTCAGAAACATCTAAACATTATTAACGTTATCAATGGTAATCCGTTTGGCATACAATCGGAGATATGTCCTAAATTGTTTGCCATGTATTATCATTAATGGGATAGGGATTACTATTACGATACATACATTTATTCGGGGCAATTGATTTCCATGATTACGGTTAGTGTATGCATGGATTTAATACAACTGTTTTGTATTAAATAGGAGACAATTGTCAAAACGGTTAAAAACACATTTGCCGATATGTGTCATTGTATTAATCAATGGTAAAGACAACTACATTAAGGATAGGATATTATAAGAAATTATTAATTTTTTAATTTTTTAAATCTTTAATTTGTAATATTAGTTTTTTTTAAATTTAATTAACAAAACCAAATAATACTAAAAACTGTTTTTAACTAATTTTTATCATTATATAGCAATTATAAAAATAATAAAATAGTTTTTATGCTTTATAATTATTAATTAAATCATTTTTTAGCTTAAACATATTTTAGCATATCATCTATAATATTTTTTTTAATAATAAATATTAGCCTATTTAATATTACTAATCACTATTAATTATTACTACTTTTACTTATTTAACAAAAATTATACCATAATAGATATAGTTAACAGTAATAATATTTATTTAGAAAACAACTAATTATTTAGTTTATTATTTTAACAATAGTTTTTTTAAAAATTAAGTTTTACTTTATGATTAAATTAATAGTATTACTATGTCTTATTACATTAATTGGTTTATATTACTATTATACTATAAATATAATAACATATAAATCAAATAAATTTGTAAAACTTAAAATCCCACATATTATTAAAAATAGTGAAAAATTTCAGATAAATAACAATAAACAACACCTTCTACTCGACCGATACGTTAGGCTATCAGTGGCTAAACAATTAGTGGCCAATCTGTCCAATGATGACCACCAGTTACTTAAATTTGACGGACCAGTGGACCGGTATCCGCAGCCTATAGTGCCCGACGTTGTACACCAGATATTGTTTACAATACATGAAATACGATTCATACACTTTATATCATTGTTATCGGTACTGAAAAATCATAGACCGGCAGTCATTATGATTCACTGCGATTGTAACCGATTGACTGGTCATTACTACAGTCAATTGGTCAGTTTGATTAGACACACGACAACTACATTAATATTACATCAAATTAAAAAACCGATACATATTTTCGGTAAACTACTTAGTCGTCGATATAGAAACTTTCACGCGGCAGACATAACCCGTATTATGGTTTTGTCACACTTTGGGGGCATATTTCTAGACAATGATATCTATGTTGTCAAAAGTCTGCACAAGTTTCGCAACTATGAAATGACATTTCAGTTGACTTTCAAAGATAGCGAACCGAGTGTCGGTCCGCAAGCAATGATAGCTCACCGAAACGCCCGGTTTATTAAGATATGGATCGACTCGTTTCACGATTATAGAGCCGACTTGTGGTTCTATACGGGCGGCGAACTGCCCGGTAAGTTGGCTCAGAAACACCGAAACGTTATTAACGTTATCGATGGTAATCCGTTTGGCATACAATCGGAGGTATGTCCTAAACTGTTTGCCATGTATTATCCGAAATGGGATAGTGATTACTATACGATACATACATTTATTCGGGGCAACTATTTTGCACATAGCGGTTGGTGTATGCATGGATATCATACCATTGCCTACACTTATAATGAGACTATTGTCGAAATAGTTAACAACACGTTTGCCGATATGTGTCGTAGGGTTTTGCATTGGGAAAGACAACAACAACTTAGGATTGACTGATTGAATATTATTATATTAATTGTAAAAATATTGAAAAAATAAAGTTAAAATATTTTTATTTTTCAAAACTAATTTAATTCTTAAGCATATTATTTTATATTTATTTTTTTCTACATTAGAAAACATTTCTAGTATATAATGTTTAAATTATTGATATAAACATTTAATCTACTTGCATTTTAAAATACAGTACTATTAATATATAACTAACTTATTAACAATAATGGTATTATTTTCATCAAATAAGATTTATAAAAAAAAAATTACAATTGTATTTTTTATAAATAATTATTTATTATAAACTAATGTTTAAGATATTAAATAAACTTTTCAACAACAAAAAACTGTTAATCAAACTTAATAATAATACCTTATCCACTTAGATATTATACTTTTTGTAAATTATATTTTTTAAATAATTTTTTAAAAATTTTAATTAAATAAATTGATAAATCTTATTAATAATAATCACTATATAAATTATTTTAGTCAGAATAACTACTAGCAATAAGTATAATAAATATTAGTACTGATAATATGATTATACATAATAATAATTATTATTAAATGTTTAAATTTTAGCGTATCATTGATAATAATTTTTAAAGTTACTTTGATTAATTTTTAAAATATAAGTACAATACATAAACATATTGTAAAAAGTGGATTAATAATATAATTAATAAAATGTAGTTAACTATTGTAATTATATTTTTAAAAATTATTTTAACAATAAAGTTGATTTAATATAATACTATTAAATCTATGATTAAATTATTATTTTTGTTATTCATTATAATAATAATAATTGGTTTTTATAATTATTACATAATAATAATATATAAACTTAATTATTTGGTAAGATCTGAGAGCTCACAGTGTTGTAGAGTTTTGCATTGGGAAAGACAACAATAAAAACTATAAATTATAATAACAATTATAATAGGATTTATACTTACAATACTGTATTTTTTTTTGATTTTTTAGTTATAAATATATATTTTAAAATATTGTATTTTTTATAGTTTAATATAACTTAATAACTTATTTTTTTTTGTTTATAGTTATATTTTACTGATTTTACTTAATAAATTATAGATTACTAGATTTTTATTATTATTATTAATCATTACATTGGTTATATAAATTATAAAGTTTTTTTTACTAAAAATTTTCTAATTATTCAATTTTTATTAAAATTTATTATAAATATTAATGTTAGTTAAGTTAAAATTTTTTATTATGATTGTAATAATTATAATTTTTTTTTAAATTTAACAATTAGTTTAAATTTATGTTAATTGTATTATAAAATTTAGATATATTAATTAGCAGTAAAACTACTTTATTTTCTACCACAAACATTTATCATTGCGACCATATTTATGTTTAAATTCATTTAGCTTGCTAAAATATATTTGCTTATTTTGATTGATATATTTTTGTCGACCCTGATCATTTTGTCTACCTGACCGCTTAATACCAGGTGCGTGTACTAGAAAAGCATTGTCCAAAATAGCCAATCGATAGCCAAGTAAACACATTTCAATCATCTAAAAAAACATTTTAATTATTATTTTTCTATTATATTTTGTTTAAGCAATTTTTACTTCAAAAAAAATAATCTTATTTTATAAAACTTAAATTATTATAATAATAATAATTATTACGTAAATAATTTATAATGAAAAAAATGATATTAATTACATGTGTCATTTTATCAAGTTTACCATCCCAATTTATTCGTTCATCGTACCATGGTTCATTATTGGTGCCAATATACAATGGCTCCCAGTAGGTCATCATACGGGTGCGTTGTGTTATCAAAAATATGCCCAACGAGTCATTGGTTTTAGGTTTATAGTTAAGCCACTAATTATTATTTTTTTTTAAAAAAGAAACCATTAATTTTGTTTTGAAAAAATATTAATTATTATTTAAAAAATTATTATTTAATTAATTAATTTTTTGTTTTTAACGTTTTTTTTGTGATGCTATTAATTAATAATTACTTGTTTTCTATTGGGAAAACTTTGACACGAATCGCATGTGTAGTGATGAAAAAATACGGCTTTACCTAAATTTTTTGTTTGTTTGTATATATAATAATTATTTATATATAAAAATTATAATAAATGGGACATACCTTTAGCCATAAGCTTACTTAGCTCTGACTTATTAGTGGGCGCCTCCGCCACTGATTCGTCCACTTCGAAAATAGGCATCACATAGACTACGGGATAGTTTCGGGAAATATTGCGCTCGCGTTCCATAAGTTTGACGAATCCGGACACCAAACCGCCACTCGGATACAGTTCGCTATCGATGGCCGAAACGTATCGGGTTTTGGCATTAAGTCGGGCCACGTTTCGGCACACATTTATCGGATACGTTAGCTTATGAACGGACCTAAATGTTTGTGAACTGTTTTGGCTGATATTAAATTTGTCAATAATCTGCTGATAGGATTCTGAACAGTTAAATGCTATTAGATAACTATCAGGGAAACTAGTATTGACAGCTCCTCCAGCAGGTCGTGCAGGACTGTACAATGTGTCGTAGACGAGATGCCAAGTGGTACGGGTGCGTACACACGGATTGCTACATTGTTTCATATAGTAGATCAAGTTTATGGCCAATGCAAACTCATCGCCCGGTGCATAGACGGCCATCGATATGGGCCCTTCCCAGCGCTGGCACTGGTGTTCAATGTGATGTATAAACGAGTAGGTACCCTGGGTTGTCATGGTAACGCTTGTGTCCAATTGATCGTAATGGTCCAGATCGGCCGGTATATAGTTATTCAATACAGTGTACAGACCACGTGTTTGACGGGTCCACCAAATAATAGTATTACTACTAGTAGTCGTTTTAGTAGTAGTAGTAATATCATTGCTAGACATTTGGATACTTGTGGTCATCTGGTCACCATATATTGATTGAATTTTTACATTAACATTGCTGTTATCATAATTGTCATTATTATTATTATTGTTATTATTATTATTATCGACTTCCTTATCATTATCATTATCATTGATCTTATTATTATAAATGTCATTATTATTATTGATATTTTTGTTGTACTAAAATTTTATTTTAAAAAAAATTAATAATTATTTATTATCTTAATAATTTTTGACAATACAAACAAAATATTTATAATAATAATATAATTTACCTGTTGCCAAAAATTCAAATTGCTGTCAACTAAATAATTTTGATTGACTTGAATTGGTTCAAGTTTACTATTTAGGCCATAATTACTACTATAAATAATAGTAGTATTTTTATTATCATTCACTTCAATCAATGATTTTAATATTATATTTTCAATTAGTATAATAACAATTGCAATGAACAGTACCGGCACTACTGTACGACATAGAGATCTTATATATGGTCTCAATAGTAAACTTAAATAACTATAAGATTTAAATAACATTTTATTTGTTATGTAATTTTTAAGTTTTAGTTTTAATTTGATAGATATATAGATTTTTAATATTTAGTTTTAGTTATTTTTAGAAATTAGTGTTATAATATAATTATTATATTACATTAAAAAATACAATATTTTTTATTGTTGGTATAAACAAAATAATTTTTGATTGAAGTTTATAATATACAATAATAATTGCAATCATTAATAATTATTACGTGACAATTAACGAGTTAAACACAATTAAAACTATCTTAATGTTATTATATATTAAAATATTAAATATAAATGTTTTACTACATTATAGACTAATTATTAAACTATAATTTACTAAATAGTTTGCATATTTATTATTAGATAAATCGTGTTAATTTCTATCATCAATAAATTCATATTTAAATAATAAAATTTTAACATTACTGGTTTTAAAAACTAATAATGAAAATTACTATTAAAATTATTTTTAAAACATAACAAAATAATTATACTTAAAATTTTGTATTTAAAGTGTATTTTTGTAAATATATATTATTTATAATTGTGATATCTATCAAAAACTAGTATAAAAACTATTATTATTAGCAATTTTATAAAGTATATTAATTTATTAATAGTTAAAAATTTATTTTTATTATTATTCAAACATTTACTGTAACCCATAAATAATAAATAAAAAAAATTATTGATTTGATTGATTTAAAAAATAATTGTATAACTTTTTATATTGTATAACTTTTTCAGATTAGTTTTAGTATTATATTTTCATAGCTATATTTATAATAATTTTTTTATTATTGTGTTATTTATTTCAATAAAATAGTTAATAACTATAATTATAAAGTATGTTTAATAAATAAATAAATAATACAGTATATTTAATTAATATAAAATAATTATAAACTTATAATCAAATCTACAATAATTTTTAATTAATATTATATTTTATAATTAATAGTCAAATACTGTATTGTAAATTAATTTAGACTATTTAGGAACAGTATTGTTGTACAACACTTTAGATGGATATCAATCCATATCTATGGGTACCACTTGACGGGTCGGGGCATTTTGTCGGGACACCGATCGGCACACATTCATCGGCAATGTTAGCCTGTGATCTGATTTGTAATTTCGGTAAAATCTGTCGACAATATCGCTATACATATCGTGTTTGCAATCAAAACTGCCCACATAATTTTCGGGAAACGTTATGCTAGAGCCACTAACACCTACTGCATCATAATAAGGTGGGTGCTCGCTATCGTAAACAATATGCCATGTTACATGCAAATAGATACACCTATTTATTGGACTGCACTGTTCCCGTAAAAAGTATATCAAATTGATAGCCAATGGAAAATCATCTCCCGGTGCGTATACGGCCACCGATAGAGGTCCCCGAAATAGACGACAATGTTTAACCACGTGATCGATAGTTTCATATGTCGACTGTGTAGTCAATGTTGTCGGTTGATTGACTGGATCGGGATCTATGGCTCCGAGAATATAATTGTTAAGCACAGTATACTGTCCTCTCTGTTCGGATGTCCACCAAATTATATTACCCGTCACTTCGGTATATATTTTTCTATTACGTAACACATGTGCCACTCGTTTGGTTTGTTTAGTAGTCATATAATAAGTATTATTATTATTAGTATTATTTCTGTTATAATCTATAATATTTGTAAAAAAAATTAATAAATATAAATAATATATAAATAATAACAATATAATACAATACTATAGTTATGTTTATTAAATTATTTATTAATTTACTGCAAATATTATTAATTATTAGTATTATGTGATATATGAAATAAACTAAATGTTTAATATTTATTTATTTTTATAGTCTAAACTCATACTTATAATTTGTTGATTTAAATTGCCAATGTAATTTTTTATTATAAATTTATTATTTTTAATACCATGGTCATTACTTGTTGTTGTTGTTGTTGTTGTTGTATTGAATATATATCCATTTGTTTTAGACTAATTATTTTTATTTAAAAAATAAATAAATTTAAAATTTAATCAAAAAACATGTTTTATATTTTAAAAAAAAATAATATACATTATTATTGACTTTTAGTGTATTATTAAATGTTGTTTTATTATATACTAATTGATTGCCATTCATAGGTTTGATATTAATAATTATAATAGTTGTGCAAACAATTAACAAATTATAAACAACAATAACAAATAATGTACTGATTATTATCAATAAAAATATATTTAAATATGAATTAACTGGCCTGGATAATTTATTTTTAATAAACATTTAGTTCTAAATAATATTTATTTTATTTTTTTAAAATACAGACACAAAATACATAACAAATAATTGAATTTTTTAAAATAAATATAATTTTATTAATAATTCATATTAAGTATATTAAATAAAGTAAATTGTAAAAATTAACAATCATTGTCACTGTTTAAACATCTAATTATCATTATTATAGATATTATATTTTTTAAGTAATATTTTTATTTAAAAAATAATAATAAATGAAATGACATATATTTTCTATAACCTAAATAAAATTGACAATTGTTTATGAAATAAAATTAATTTATATTTAAAATAAACTTTATATATTAAATAAAATAAAAATTATTGTAATTTATTTATCTCTTAAAATATAAATAAATCAATAATAAAAAAATAGTTTATAAGTTAATTAGATTTACTAAATAGATTGTAATTTTTTTCAACTTAATTTTAAGTCATATATTTAATTTATGATTAATTGAAAAAAAATTGTAATACTATTGTCAAATGTTTTACATATATTTATAGATATTTTCAAAATAAGTATATTTCTAAAAATACTGTATAAAAAATTATTGATTGTGTGAATCCCATAAATACTGACAAAAATCAATTTTTAAGTCGTTTTTATAGTTAGTCACTGGATTCGGTTGATTACTAAACTCATAGTACGGCGCTATTACATGACTGTCCATTGAATAAAATTGTGGCCATTTATAGTTGTCTACAATACCCGGATTGCTATGAATTAATTTTTTTTAAAAATAATTTTATTATACAGAAAATATATTTATATATTTATTTTTTTCGATAAATTACCCGAATTTTGCAAAATTAGTAAATATTTGCATCATTTGTCCGGATATTTCTCGTTCGCGATCAGCGTATTTGTCTTTATTAAGGAACGGTATGCCAAACACTGGCCATAAATCCAGTCCATGACAGACACCCATCCATTTGGTACAGACTTCCTCTTTGGGTTCATTTCCTAACCTACTATTATAGTAATACTGATAGACAGCGACACCAGTTGTCGGTTTGTTAGCTGCGGACAGTGTTCGCCCAAATCGGATGGTCGGACAAGTCATCAGATAATCGCCATAAGCTATACCAATGTGACCGATCAGAGTTTCTCTATCCGTACGATTGGATAGACCAGTAAAATAAAGTCTGGACACTTGTTGGCCATCGATAGGATGGTTAGCCGATAGACCGGCCGATAGATTACTCAAATAGTCATACGCTTCGCCGTACGTAAAGTTTTTCGGTGAAAACGGATTGAATATCTTTGAGTCGACCAACGAAGCCAACAAAATGGATCCCTCGTCCTCAGTATTGCTAATCATTAGACTAAAATTGTGTTTATGTTCACCCCTTTCCAACATTTCCATAACCGTTCCCGTATAGATAGTACCGTCGATAACAAATATCGGATCAACACTACCGCTGATCTCAAATGTTGTATAATTTTCTGTCAACTTATTGGCCGGTATTTGACGCAAACATTCAATAACTTTTGCCGACATTTTATAATTACTATCACTTATACTATTGTTATCCGACTGATGGTTATTACCAGTACTACATCCCACAGCTTTTGCCTGTCGTAGCCAATACTTCAAACTCATTGCCGGTTCGGCAATCATACCGTGAATTAGAGGCGAACCGGACATTGCAATAGCATTTTTAAACAGATGTCGACTTTTGGGCGACATTATCATTGTATTAACCGATATACTACCAGCGCTCTGGCCAAACAATGTAACCCGTTGAGGATCGCCACCAAAATGTCGGATATTGTTGTGAACCCATTCCAGTGCTAGTATTTGATCCCAAAAAGCCATATTTCCCGGTGCATCATCTGTACCCGTATATAGCATACCCAACATACCTAATCTGATATTATATATAAAGTAATTGATATTATCATTGTAGTCATCGACAACAATGATATTACCTGTAATTAATGGACACGACTACCACATTCATTGTGGCCAACACTGATAGATTGTATCGCATTTCACTGGACGAGCCCATAATAAAGGCTCCGCCGTGTATCCAAACCATTACCGGTTTCGGGTTAGTAGTTACCGACGAGTTGGCAGTAAAAACATTGAGTTGTAGACAGTCTTCGCTACGGTTTTTGTTGTACATCGTCGGCAAACCGAACTCTTGTTGCGGACAAGCATTAGGCCATTGGTAAGCATTGAACGGTTTCGACCATTTTCTAGCCGAAACCGGACGCCTGAAACGCAACGCACCGACCGGTGGTTCGGCGTATGGAATGCCTAAATAGACTTCAAGTTCGGTACCATTGAATGTTTGGGTGCGACCATTGATTTGGCCATTTTCTATCGTTACCGATACATCACGGGCTATAACAGTAGTGCTTAATGTTATCAATAATAGTAATACAACTAATGATTTTAATAACATTGTAATCACAAAAATTAAAATAATTATTTTTTTCTAATTAAAAACTATAATAAATAAAAAGTACTGTATTTCTAATACAAAACGAAAAATATTTTCAACACATAATTATTAAGTATTATATACTTTGTATTATATTAACTAAAGTTTGACAACAGTTATTATATTATAATACATTATATCTAATAAACTAATTATCGATACATACTTTACTGTATCTTTTTTCGCAATTAATGATTAATACATATACATTACTTATACCATATAAGTGATTATATGGATTTATAATTGCTTTATATAATTTACTGATACTTATACAGATACAGTATTAATTTTACTGTTACTGTTTTGATATAGTATATATGACTCATTTCAAAAAATATAAAATTATATATGATTATCATTTTTTAATTAATGCTTTATTAGTTATTATCATATATTGTTTTAATTGTATTACTTGTATAAAAAAATAAAGTCTATTATTATATATTATTTATAAATCTAAATAATACAACATTTGACCTAAATTATTATTTTCAATTACTTATATAATTATTATTACTTATTTTTTAATTTTATTATAATTATTATTTATTAATTAACTGATATACTTAACTAATATGTTTTATACTTGTATATTTTAAATAAAATGATTACTTTTAGTAAATTTTTATTTTATTACAACTTATCTAAAATACATTTAAAATAATTTAATTATATTATAATAATACTATCATAGAATTTAAACTAAATTATATTAATATATTAATAATAATTTAGTTTTAATGTTTCAAAATAAATATGATATTGCTAAATCCAATTTATATAATATGACTCAATTAATTTTATATATAATTAAATAAACTAAAAATAATTTTTGTTAAAAGGTTAAAAAATTTCTTTAAAAAATAATAATATATAAAATATAATAATTAAAATAATTTAAAACATTATATTTTCAATAAAACATAAAACAGTATTTGCAATAAAATCTTGTATTCATTGGTATCATTTACTATAAATTATTTATTTATTATTACAATAATAATAACAATATTAATCATACAATATTTAATACAATGAATATAATAAATAGCTTAATTCATTTAGTAATAATAATTATCTAAATAATTTTTATCAATAGTAAAACATTCTACAAACTAAATTGTATAATTGATAAACTAGTTAACAATAGATATCATTGTAAACTCAAATTCATATTCAAAAATTTATAATAATTATAATTATATCATATATAATTTTTATATTATCAATAGCAATAGTAATTTTCATAAAATTTGTCCATGTTAACATTTATATTGCACTGTCAAATTTTATACAGTAATAATAATTAATTTATTTATTTATCATTGGCTACATTTGTCATCATTTGTGTCTAACTATCGGTGGTTTCGCTAAACTAAATAAATCAACACTTATTTTGGTTAAAATTTTATTCATATTTTTAAATAATACTTTATTATAGTATATTAATTTTATTTTTATTTATTTTATAGATTTTGACATTTATATTAAATTATACTGCTATAATGTTTCAAACAATTTTTATTAATTTTAATATTTATATTAATTATTTCATTTCATTATTATTCAAATTAATATTATTATTTGTTAAAAGCATTATTAAATTTGTAAGTATTATATATTAATCTATACATTATATAGTGTAAAGAAAAATAATTAATTATATTTTATTAATAATATTCTAGCTCATTTTCATTTTAGTTTACTAAAACTAATTTATAAAAAACAATTTTTATTATATAAAGTAAACTTATTATTGTATTATAATAGAATATTATAAAAAAAGACTATTTTTTAGTTTTAGTTTTTTAATTTATTTTAATAATAAAGTAAAATAACTATTTAATAAAATATGCTATTATTCATAAAACTGTCATAAAATTTAATATCTATTATCTTGTTTACAATATTTTATTAGACATTTGTATTTTTATAAGTTTTAGAGATATATATATAATATTATTTGTAAATTAAAATACTAACATTATCTAGTATGTTTATTAAAATTAAATATATAGTTATATTAATAAATATATTTAAGATATTTGGTATAACATTTGGTGGTCTAAAACTAGCTAGATCAGTTAGTGATACTAATAATAATTGTATAATTAAAGTTTCAAGGAGCAAATATTGGCTATATTATGGATATATTTATGCAATAATATTTTGTATACTTATTGGTAGTATTTATTATAAACTATTTATTTATTATCGTAATTATAATATAGCTTTTCATACAATATTTCACACAATAAATAACCTAGTTCATTTAGTACAACTAATTATCTTGATAATTTTTGTCAATAGCAAAAATTTGTACAATTTAATTAGTCTAATAGCTAAGTTAGTCAACTATAAATATTATTGTAATTTTAATGTTTCAAACAACAACAATAATTTGTTGATCCAAATAAGTCTAATAACTTATTTAATTTCAATAATTTCCATATCAATAGTATTAATGATAAAATATATTCAGATAGACATTTATTTAGGACTATTTAATTGTATATTAATAATTAATAAATTTGTTTATCAATGTCTACTAACGTTATTATGTTTACTAATATCACACTATTATTGTAAAATATATAACCAACTAATACTTGACTATAAAAACAATATAAAATTATCAAAAGGTATTTTATTAATATTTTCTATCTTTTTATAATTAACTTATAATTATTATTTTTATTTATTTTTTATTATTCAAAAGACAAAATATTTAATGGGCTTTCGCTAAAATTACATAAAACAGTAAAAATTATTACTAAACTAAACCATTTGATGAATCAAATTGATAATTGTCTGTCTTATATATTATTAATACAAATATTTATTAATATACAACTAATTATGTATAGTATATACAATAGTGTAGTTTATATTAAATTCAATAGTTTTGATACACAGTTAATAGTCGTATTGTTTATTATAATTTACTCTATTATTGATCTATCAATTGCTTGTTGTATATGCGGTACTATTGAAGTCAGGGCTAAACGATTTAATGTCTTATTTGACCGATTGTTAGTCAATGGACTGACTAATAGACAATACATTGAATGGTTGGTCTGTAAGCAAGTGATGGCAAATACGGACAGTTTGTGTCTAACTATCGGTGGTTTCGCTAAATTGAATAAATCAACACTTATTGCGGTTAAAATTTACTTATATTATTATAATATGACTATTATTAATATTTTTATATATTTATTATTTTTATTTTTTTATAGATTTTTACATTTATATTAAATTATACTGTTATAATGCTTCAAACAATAAAATAAATAAATAATTTTATACAATTATAGCAAAATAATTAAAACCAATTAATGTAATTTTATTATTATTTTAATTAAATATGTTGTAAGATTCTATATTGATTTTATTGTATATTATTAATTATCTTATTAAATTTTATACTTTATATAGTATATACTGAATATTAAAATAATAAATTATATGTTTATTTTAATATCTTAGATTATTTTTATTTTATTATACTAAAACTAATTAATAGAATAAATTTTTAATGTATGAATATAAAGTTGATAGCTAATTATTGTATTGAAATATTAATATTAAAAGATATTTTTATTTAATTATTTTAACATATTGAATTTTTTTATAAAAATTTAAATTTTGTAATATAATAATTGAAAAATTACATTTAATAATAACTAATTATATCTAAAAATAATATTTGACACAACACTATATTATATTAGATATAAAATTTGATAACATAATAATAAAGACAAAAAAAATAAAGATATTGATTAACATATTTCATAATACCTTTTTATTACATTATCAGAAAATTTATATTATTTATTATGAATAAAATTATTAACAATTTTAGTCTTATAAAAAATATATTGTATTATTGTTTATATTATAGTAATAATTTTAATTTATAATATTTTGATTATTTAAATTTTATTAAAATTATTAAGTTATGTATAAATATAAAATCAACTATATTGGTATATTAATTAATTTATCAAGATTATTTGGTATTACATTTGGTGGTCTAAAGCTAACTAGATCAACTAAAAATAATATTTATATAATAAATGTCTCCAGAAACAAATTTTGGTTATATTATGGATATATCTATACAATAGCATCAATTGTTTTCATTAGTATTATTTATCATAAAATATACTTATTTTATCATGGAAATAAAATTCATAATACATTAGCTAATTCAATTTATCTAATATATGTTATATCAACTTATTTCTATATAATAATTATAGCAGTTTTTCTCAATAGTAAATATATATTTCAAATAATTAAACTAATTGTTAGATTAGCTGATAATAAATATTATCCAAAACAGCAATTAATTAATAAAAATTTAATAATCATCAAATTATTTCTAATATTTCTAATATATTTAATTTTAGTATTATCAATAGCTATTATATGGTTTTTAAATTTTGTCAATGAAAGCATATTGTTTGCAATATCAAATGCTTTAATTATGTTTATTAGATTTGTTTATCGATCACTAATACCATTAATATGTTTACTAATATCTCATTATTATTGCATGCTTTATAATCATATGATTGCTGACTATACTACGATTATCATTGAATCAAAAGGTATTTAAATATTTATGTTTATATTAAAATTATATTATATTAATATTTTGTTATTGATTTTTTAAAATCTTAAGATAAACTATTTGACAGATTGGCAGTAAAATTACATAAAACAGTAATACTTATTACAAAATTTAAACAAATTTTACAACAATTAGATAATTGTCTATCAAATATAATATTATTAAATACATTGCATAATATACTGGAAATTATGATTGGTATATACGGTACTGTAGAGTACTATAACTATATTACATTTAATAAACACACAATCGTTGTATTGTTTTGTATAATTATATCTATTGTTGATCTAACAATTACTTGTTGGATGTGCGGTGCTATTGAGGTCAGGGCTAAATATTTTAATAATTTATTGGACCGATTGATAAGCAATGGACTGTCTAATACACAATACACTGATTGGTTGGTCTGTAAG